CGGCCCCAGAGGATTAACTACCTATCCCTTTATTGAATTTTTTTAAAATTACTATTATTATTACTTGTTTGAATGAGCATGTTCAAATGAGCTTGTTCACATGAGCTTGATCGAATGAGCAATATTTTTAAAAGAGCATTACCCCTGTTTTACGTAGATTTTCGAGGTCTGACTATCTCGGCTTATCCAGTCTAGTTTTTTTATTAATTTATAATATAAATATAACTGCTTTTTAGCATTTTTGTCGATGTTTTCTAATGTTGGAAATAACATTTTAGGAAAATGGTATCTTATAAAAAAGATTGAAAAATATCGATTGAAAAACAAATTAAAATATCGAGCTAAACTTAGAAATGCTAAAAAAATAACTCTAAAATTTTGTGTTTAAACTTTAAATCAGCAATTTTAAAATAATTCATTAATCTAAAAATTATATTCAAAAATCTAATCCAAATTTTTCTATTTAATTATTTGAAATGTGCAACAAATAACTGGAGTAAGGGTATTTAAAAATTTTTTCTGCTAGTTATGAGTATTTGTTGTAAACTTTAACTTAAGTCTCCGCGGCACTTTATAAAAGGTCCAGATACATAATTTTGTTCAGAATTATCTATCCAACCGAATTGAAAAAATTTTTTGCGGTACCTATTTTTTTATTTTTGACACCCTTATAATCATTAAATATAAATAAAAAACAATTCCCGGTAATATTTTATACAAAAGATTAAATATTTAAAATTTACAAAAGAATGAAAATAGAAAAGAAAAATAGATTTTAAATATGTAGATATGTATATTGTTTTTGGATTTTTCATTTTATTTTTGTTTGATTTTTAAATTTTATGATTTTTTGGATTTTTGTTTTTTTAATTTTTTTGTTTTTTCTTTTAATTTTGCTTGTTTTCAGGTTTCATTTTAATTTTAGGATTTTTTGGGGCTCTAATTATAATAAAATCCAAATTTAACAAATTTTCTTAGTCACCAATAATTTCCGAAATCTTTTCAAATAAAACGTCTTTTGCTTTGTAGCCATTATAATATTTTGAAAGAATATTCTCTCTCAAATTATCTGCAGCTTTTTGATATTTGCTAAAAATATAATTGGACAATGATAATTTATAGTTGGGGGAGTATTATTTCAATATCCGACATTTACCAGAATACAGCCGTAAAACCCCATTTCAGATTAAAGCTGAATGTCAAATGACGGAATTCACTTGCCATATGTATTCACAATTTTTTTCGGGACAAACATTATACATTACTCATTGCTAAATATACTTACTCATTGCTAAAAATTTCATTGAAAGCTCTTTTAAAATCATATTCAAATTTCAAATTTTTATCCTCTGAGTCATAACGTTCATCAGTTTCTAGCATTTTTACATATATTCCAATACCCAAATATTCTACAATGGAGGAATTGTAGAATTGATCAAACGAGTTTGGAATACAAATTAAAGGAACACCTGCATAGATTGCCTTAAAATTGAATTTAATAATTTCTATTTGTTAAGGATCTCTACATAATCTTGTAAAGCATATAGCTATTTAATTCTTAAAGCTATGCAGTAGGCCCGTGGTCTAAATGATAAAACAACAGTCCGGCCTACTGAAGATGCTGGTTCGCACCCAGCCGCAGATTAACCTTTTGCACTAGATAAAGGTGAGAAATAGCTATAGCCCAGCTGCTTTACTAAATCTATAGCTCAATAATTTGAAAAAGTATAATAAATCAAGCGACACCGTTACCAAGGCAATGCTGATCTTAAACTCAATCCTGAACTCAGCATTTTTTGGAATAACTAAGGTAATATTGTTATTTGCGCTATGATAGGATCTTTCTCTTATAGAGTTAAATACTGTTAATCGAAGAAATGAAGAAAAACGGTATTTTTGCATAACAGAATTAAGATTTTAAATTTAATAATTTTTAAATTAAATAATTTAACCTCAATTAAACTATGCTGTCCACAATGAGTAATAAACAATTTCGTATTCTTCTCAGCTTAATATTTATTAAAATTTTTCTAAATGTCACGCGGTAATATTGGGACGGACATATCGGGATATTTCAATGTACGAACAGTTACTCTACTGATTTCGGCCACTGGGTCATAGATAGTATATTGTCCTATTAAGGAATAAAGAAATTATTTTAGTCACTCCAATCCCGATATTTTTCACACAATCCCTATTTTCTCGTCCGGATATGTCCGCAAACCTTCTAATATTTATATGGATGTGGGCAAATTGTTAGCGCGATTTTTATAAAGATTGAAATATGTAGTTATTTCCTTTTGCAACACTGTCGAAAATAAAAGAGTTTGACAAAAACTAATCGCACTGACAGTTTGCCGCACACTTTATATCTAATAAATATTACATAAAATCTCTTGCTGTTGATAAATTTATCTGTGACTTTAATTTTACTTTTGTTATAATTTTCTGGCAAAAGATGTTCTTCTATTCGAACAATAAATTTGCATTTAGAATGTCGGTTGAATCTATCAAACATTATTTCAATATTTTCTCGATTCAATTCTCCCGAAACTTTGACAGTTCCAAACGAAACTAGAACAATACATTCACGCTTAAATAAAAAAATATAAATAAGGTTAGCTTAAATACAGGGTGATCCAAAAGTAAAGTTGGGCGAGCTTGAGGTTTTTTGAAAAAAACGAGACCGAGAATCACCGAGCTGGAAGAGACATGATCGAATTTCGAAGATCTTTATAACTCTTCAAAATCTAAGAATCTAATTCAAGATCAAAATCTGCTTAAAAATCTACAAATTAATATGCTCTCTCTGATTAATAGCCAGTAATTGACACAATATAAATCAAGCAATCAAATCCATGATCTAATAATTTCAAAGCTTTGATAAAAATTCTAAAAATATTTTGGATTTGAAATTTGATGGGTAAATGGGTGGAAAATCAAATTATATCAAATTTTATTTGATATAATCTCTAGGCCTACACGACTACATCTTTGGAAGAATTTACCGTATTTCAACTTGAAATTTAAAATAATTTTACCCTTTTGTTGTTTAGTTTTTTAATTTTCTCTGTCAAGATTTTCTTTTCTTCAACATGTATACCTCCAATATAAATAATTTTTTCGTGTAAAGGAAATGTTTTTGGGTAGTTGGTTGGGCGGGGGACCAAAAAAGGGTCTTAATATTTTTTCCTCCGAATAATTTTTTGTATATTATTATCGTAATTGGCATATGTTTAAACTTAGGTAACATTCCGGTTCCATGAATAACCCTTTCGATTGATATCCAGGTTTGAAAGGCAAAGAAAAAGTCCTTGTTATTTTTGTCTCCTAGTCGGTTGGTGCATTACTCTTTTTGTCCTCCTCGGCTCGCGATCCGTTTTTTCGAACAATTGCCATATTGTACTTATAGAGCAATGTCCCCTCTACAATTCTAATAAAAAATTATCCGGATATTGTTATAACCGGCGAGCAAGGACGCGTTTGTTTACAGTCGATCGTCTTCACGACCCACGTTTGTGGTTGGTCCTGCCGCTCCCTGAACAAAATTTTTTCAAAAATTTTTGAGCTGCAAAAGGCTAGACCACATCCCTGCCTAACGTTTCATTAATTTTTCTTGCTTCCAGCATTGCATTATTACTTTGTTTTAATGGGATGTGTAAATGCTCCCAAATAAAACCCCTAATTTTTTGGTCATTTCTATTTTTAAAATTTTAGTATCATTACGAAGCTAAGACTCTGGGCTACAAAATAAGATAAAAACAAAATCGGATAAAAATAGTTAACACTCAAAAAACATGCGTTGAAAAAAAACGAACTTTTTTATGAAACGACCTAGTAAAAGCTTTAAAATAATTAGCAACAAGGATGCCATGGGTTACCAGAAACCCGAAACCCGATCCGAAGAGAATTTTGAAAACCCGACCCGAAACACGACCCGACATTTTTCTAACAAGTAACATCCCTGCTACGCAACTATTTTGTACAAAATGCCAAAAAGTGACAATAACTAATAATAAATATATGTATAGGTAATTATTACCTGCGTAAATTCCAAGAAAATAATATCTTCTAGAATGACAAAATTCTAAATATGCAACCGTTCTTCCAAGTGTTCTAAGAGCAATACTGTTCAATTGTTTTTTAATATTTATCGGCAAATGAATAATTTTCAAATTTTCTGAAATTATTTCATGTCCAAATTCTAAATCATAAACAAGAAAATCCTGAAATTTTTTTTAAAAATGGAAAGATTTTTATAAAAACTGTAGACCCTGTGATCTAATGTCCGAGTCATCGAGGGGTCGCATTTCCGGGAAACGTAGCGGGATTTTCTTCAAAATTTTGTACGGGACGGAATCCCGTGGGATTGATCCATAAATCCAGGTAATCCCGTTCTCAAATCTATCGGGATCCATCGGAAACCTGCATTGTTACAAAGAATTATCTTTGCATTTGCTGTTCCCTCATATATCTTCCAACTCCTAAATCCATCAATATCTCCCACGTATCCTTTTTAATCACTAGTTTCCCATATTAATTCTTAAAACTGTTGATATATGTGTAATGTCAATCACCAAAATCCCTCGATATCTCTTAGCAGAAAGGATCGCTCAATGTCTGATTTCCACACAATTTACGCTAGATAATTAAATATTTACATAATTTTAATTAACATACCACCATGTATCTTTCCGACAAAATTTTTGCCAAAGTTTTCTGTAATATTAAACAAAAATATTTTTAAGAGATAATAAATGTTATTAAAACATTTATAGTTTTTGATAAATTAAATTATCACAAAAGTGTGTTTCAGATTTTTCAAAATTTTTCGACTTCTATGATATTATAAAAGCTGATAAGATTTAAATAATATTCAACCACCGTCCCAATAGACGGTAGTTCACGGGGACGGTGGAAGGCTCTCCCCCAAAGCTACCGTCCCCGTGATAACTGCCACCTGACTGTAAATGTTGAACCTTAGATTTAGATAATTTAAGTTAAATTACATGGAAATATAGAGGCGATCTTAGAAGATAATCGCTTATATACAAGACTTTTTTAACATTTTTTCCTTTTTTCTTCTCTTTTTCTACATTTTCTTTAATCGTTTTTGTATCTGAACCTCCTATAAGAGGCCCTTCACCTTCTTGTTTGAATTTAGAACATTTCTCTCCATCCTCTTCCTCAATTCCTCCAAGGCTGTTAAAGCCTGAAGCTCTTTTATATCGGGAAAAGGAGAGTTTATCATTTTCATTTGAATCAGTTTTAAACTCATTCCCAATAGAAAATTTGAAAAAAAGCAGCGGAAAAAAAGAAATTATTAATTTAAAATACATTTCCTAAAAAATTAATTATAGAAGTTAATAATTATGAAAGTTAAAAATTTTTCTTTAAAATATTATATAAGATTACGCAATGAAAAATAGAATGGAATAAAAGAAAATTGGAAGAAATCTTGCACTAAGCCTTCAGAATTTTTAAAAATTTTCGTCTCATGCGGAAAAATGTCGCCTCCTACATCACCTTAGGAATTAAATAGCTATAGGCTTTAGACTATGCTAGCTGTCTGCTTAATAAAAGCCGTTATTTGCACCTGTCTTTATACAGCGGGACACGTGAAAATCTTTATTATTATTAAAGGGAAATCTGCACTTTTATTATTTATTTTTTTAAAAATAAAAATATTAATTTTATCGCCTTCCTTTAAACTCGGCAAATGGCTTTTGATAAAGTGCAATATTTTATAACTTTAATATTTTTATTTTTTCCTTAAAAGCAAAGTGCATATTTTGAAATATTTTACAAAATAATTTGTTTTTATTTTTATTAATGATAGTAATTTAATGAGTTTGCCCAAATAACTTCTAAATAATCTCCAATTTATCAAAAATACGACAAAATCTCTCTCTAATGAGACTAACTTCCAGCTTGTATAATGTTTGCGCTAAATATGTAAAAGGTGGCAAGTTTTAAGGTATAGGTCTTTGCTTGCATAGGCTGGGATTTGAGACTTGGCAGAGTTGGGAGATTAGGAGAATTTTTTGATAAATAAAACATAAAAGAATTTCAAAATCTCCGTCTTATTTATTTATTTTTAAAAAGGGTACTTTAAAAAAATTTGCACTTTTTGTCAATTGCCGCTATTAAACAAAATTAGTCAATAAATTTTATACCTGTGTTTATTTATTTTTCTATACTCTTTTCTTTTAATTAAAATTTTAAAATTTTCAAACTTAATGTGTCGGTTAAATTAAACAGACAATAGTAGGTCTACGTACATTTTCTTACATCAAAAGTAGGAAATCTGGCTTCTCGCCTTCCAGATTTAACGGGAGCAATTTAAGGGGGTCTGCTTTGTGAGTGCTATCTAGGAATTATAAAGGGCTTAGGCAGATATTTTGGATTTGAAGAGATAAAAGTATATCGAGGAATTTTCAAAGATAGAAGGATATCGGAGGATTTGCAGGAATAATTGGATTTATAAAGAGATTTCTGGGATATCAAGCAATTTGAAGCTACCAGTAAGGGATTTGGATAGGGTATCAGAGATGTGGTTTAATCGTCAAATCTTCTTATATATTTTGGATTTGAAGAGATACCACGTAAAGGCTCTCATAAATAAATAAATAAATATTACTCTTAATCTATCCAAATCCACCTTTTGGCAGTTATTACTTGAATCCAGGGTTGTCCGCAAGTGAAAAAATTGTCTGCAAGTCCAAAAAACCAAACAATTTACCTCTTTTTTCCTTTCTCTCCTTTTTGAGATTTTCAACAATTTTTTGCCAATAATCAACTTCTCTTGGTTTATAAGGAGGTGGCAAAATATAGACTGTTCCGCTGAAGCATTCAAGTTTTTTCCAAAGCGGTTCTAATTGAGCTTTGAGAGCTTCAGGGTGTCCTCCTTCATCAATAACTTCTCCCCCTATCCAAATTATTGTTGTGAAATAGGGAGCTGGTGTGAGTGGTAAGTAGTCATTAAATAAATATTTAACTTCATTCGCTGCTATTGGTGCGGCGCAAAAACTTTGAGGGAAGAATTCAGTTAATATTTTCGCGTTGTGGTCCCCCACAATCATCACCTCCTCATATATGGGAGTAGCCCGTGGATAATATTCAACAACACGCATAAATGTGAGCGCTTTTTCAGAATGCTCAGCTATTTTTAAAAACAATCCATAGCTTTCTTCTTCAGTTGGATTTTCTTGCCCTCTCAAGCTAACGGGAAGCCAAGGTTTGTTTGAAAATGCTTCCTCCGCTAACTCACAAGCAGCCTTCCAAAGAGCTAATGCTGGCTTTAAATCTCGAGGATGCCAACCTCTTTCTAAATTTATATTTCTTTTCTTTTCTATAGCAGTTATTATCTGAGCGGGCTTCTTTGCATTTAATACTTCATCAATAAACTCAATTCCCGCTTCAAAAGACGTTGTTTTATTATTTTTCTTCTTCCACCAGTCTTTTCTCATTTTCATTAGTGTCCAGAAACACAGAAGTAATTGGATTAAAGACTGAATTGGCTTACTGTGAAGACGTGGATAATCCCTTTTTATAGCTTCAGAATCCTTTCTAGCGATGTCGACAACGTTACGGAGAGTTAGTTGCGAGCATCGCTTGTGACTATTTGCTCCAGGTAGGCAACCATTAATTAAAGCCCAGCCGAAATTCAAAACGAGCTTTCCATTTTTGACCTCTCTTTTGGAGGGGTCTTTTTCTTTAAGTTCGGCCTTCTTTCCTTCTTTTTTAGGTTCCGAACCATTCTGTTGTTGAAACTTCATTAACCTAGAAGTGCTAGTACATTCTTCCTTTTTACCTTCAAAACAGTTTTGCTGTCTTGTTTTATTTAATTTTATTGAACCTGAACCTGGCTGTTTGCGAACCACTTTCTCTTCAGCTTCCTTTTGTTTCTGTATTTTCTTTACAAAAGATTGTAGTCGATCATCAAAATTTTGTTTAACTTGCTTTTTTGGTGGCTCTTCGTTTTTATCAATACTTCCATTACTTTGATTTTTCAATTTTTCTTCTTCATAATCCAAAGAGAGATCAGAAACATGTTCGTCTTCCATTTCCCTGAAAATGATCAAATTACATTGACAAATTTCTTTATTAGTAATTTTTCTATTTTTATTTTTCAATTTTAAAGAATTATTTTTATTTTCATTCTTCATTTCCTCAGCTTTTTCTGGGATTATTTTTTCGCTTTCATCAACTTCGAAGGGAAAGAGATCGTTGACTGCGCGGCGCATAGTTCCTTTACTAGTTTTTACTACCTCTGTGCGTTCGCCCGGAAGTAATTTTTCGATTTTTCCGAGCTTCCACACTCCGCGATTTTTTATTTCATCATCTCGGATGATGACAACGTCTCCCGCCTTAGGGGGATTTTCTGCGGAGGGGCACTTTCTGATATTATTTTTCCTCTCTCTCAGTGCTAGCAAATATTCGTCTGTCCAAATTTCCCAGAATTTGTTTATTCTGTCGGACGCCTTCCTTATTTCCTCGACTAATTCTTCTTTATTAGTCATTTTTTGAGGTCTATTATCTGGGTCCTCCAAATCTGCTTTTGGCAAATGAGGAAGTTCAGAATTACCTTCTTCATATGGAATTAGAAAATCCACTGGTCGGAGGGACTTTATGTGCTCTGAGTCAGGGATAAAATTGAGTGGCCTGGAATTTACCACATTTTGTACTTCGCTTATTAATGTACGAAGTTCTTCCTCTTCCAACAGCCTTTTTCCGACTGTTCTTTTTAGAGAATATTTTACCAGTCCTACCATCCTTTCTACAAGTCCATTTTTCCATGGAGCTCTTTCCGTCACGAAAATCCATTTAATTTCGTGATCAGAAGAGAATTTTTGAATTTTTACTTACTTCCAAATTATTTGTAGAGTTTTTTCCGCGGCTTTGAAATTTGTGCCGTTGTCGGAAATCATCAAAGCTGGCTTTTTTCTTTGAGCCATAAATCTTCTGAAAGTTTGTAAAAAGGCTTGGGCGGACAGGTCTTCAGCCATTTCTAGGTGAATAGCTCTGTGCTAGTACACGTATAGACAGCTATCCATCTTTTAATTTTATCGCCACTGGTTTGTTTCACGGTTAGAGGTCCAAAATAATCAACCGCAGTGTGCATAAAGGGCCGAAATTGGTTAACTCTAATCGCAGGCAGTGTCGGAAATGCTGGTTGTTTGTATGGCTTTATCCAAAATTTCTTACATATTTGACACTTTTTGGTGACATCCTGGACTTTTTTCCGAGATATCCAATATTTTAATCTCAAACAGGCCAATACCGTATTGGTTCCTGCATGGGCCATTTTTTCATGGACCTCCATTATTATTAATTCAGTTAAAATGGCATTCTTAGGCAACCAAATAGGAAATTTTGTTTCCTCATCGAGATTGCCTAATTCAATTCTTCCTTTACTCCTCCATAATTTTTCTGAATCTTTAAATAATAATAAATTTTGTTTTGTATCTTCAGAGGGAGGGTATAGATTTTGAGCTTCTTTTAATAAAAATATTTCAGCCAATTTCATCTCTTCTGGTTTAATTATTCCTGGTGAATTGGCCATAGTTTCTTTTAATTTTAAGAAAAATTCATTTTTCATATTTTTTTTTTTTTCAGGCAAATGTGTTTTAATGCTCTGAGAACGAAAATTAATGTTGTTTTTAATTTATTTATTTTAGAAAATCACCGATGGTGCTTTTTAATGGTGCTTTAATGGTGCTTTTAATGGTGCTTTATAATCATTAATGGTGCTTTTTCTATTGTTGAAAGGCACATTTCATGGAAAGGTTGAGGATTAAATTTTTCTATCCTCTCCCCTGGCACATATTCGATCTCAGTTTTAGGCCAATTTGCTTCTTCTTCATGAAGGAATTCTGGGCCTTTAAACCATAGAGCATTATTAGCCAATTCGCTTGGAGTAATTCCCCTACTAGTCATATCCGCCGGATTTTCTTCGGTTCGGATGTATTTGACAATGTTTTTTCGAATAGGCCTTAAACGTCTTTCAACGAATGGTTCTTGCTCCGATGGACTTTTTAGCCAGTGGATGACTGTTTGAGAGTCAGTCCACAACATCTTTTTATTAATTTTTAGGTCGAGCATATTTTCAACATATTCCAACGCTTTAGTAGCTATTAAGGCTGCATGGAGTTCCATTCTGGGAATAGTTAATTTTGCTTCGCATTTGCCAATTTGCGCTTTAGGTTTAACTCTGCTTTTAGCAAAAATTAGAGTCGATTCTATTTTCGCATCTTTTTGATAGCGAAGATAGATCGTGAATCCTAGAGCTTTGTCTGAAGCATCAGAAAAGGCGCATAGTTGGAAATTTGTTACTTTC